TGCATATATTGGTACTGCTTATATATCTGGAACTGCTTATATATATGGAACTGCTTATGTATATGGAACTGCTTATAGATGGAACTGCTTGTATCTGGCTCCGTCTCCTCCCTCAACGACGCTGTCTGCCCGGACGCGGGGTGCCGCTCCGACCTGGCATTCGGGTCCCGTCTGCAGAGCCGCTGGGACGGTGTATCTTTTTTTTTACAGTGACGTCATCCCGTCCTCAGATGCCCTGCGGTTCTTCACGGACGCAGCCCCGTCCGTGGGTTTTGGGGGTCTCTTCCAGGTCCAGTGGCCCGACGCCTTCCCTCAAAGCATCTCCTCCGCGCTCCCGATAAACCTTCCAATGTCATCCGTCTGTTTCAGAGCCCAACTCAAGTCCGTACTGCTGCTTGTAACCTGTCTCCCCATCTCTACACAGCCCACTCCTTCGGATAGGCGCCGCCACGCGCGCCGCGTCCCTTGGGCTCCCCTATTCCGCCCTCCAGCAGCTGGGCCGCTGGTCATCATCGGCCCTCTCCTCATACATCAGGCCTGACACTTCGACCATCCTGGCAGCCCAGCGCCTCTTTGCATCTCCATAAAACACTTGCAAACTTCCTGGTGGCGGCAGCAGCTGAGTATCCGCAAGCAATGGTCGCAGCAGCTGAGTATCCGCAAGCAATGGTCGCAGCAGCTGAGTATCCGCAAGCAATGGTCGCCCGCAGAGACTGTTCGGCAGAGACTGTTCGGCAGAGACTGTTCGGCAGAGACTGTTCGGCAGAGACTGTTCGGCAGAGACTGCTCGGCAGAGACTGTTCGGCAGAGACTGTTCGGCAGAGACTGTTCGGCGGAGACTGTTCGGCGGAGACTGTTCGGCGGAGACTGTTCGGCGGAGACTGTTCGGCAGAGACTGCTCGGATGAGGATCCGCAAGTTTGGTCACAATAGATAGCGGTCACAGCATATAGTGATAGCGGTCACAGTATATAGCAAAAAATGGTTAGCGGTCACAGTATATAGCGATAGCGGTCACAGTATATAGCAAAAATGGTTAGCGGTCACAGTATATAGCAAAAAATGGTTAGCGCGCGATGGTCGCGACTCGTCAGCACATAGCGATAGCGGTCACAGTATATAGCGATAGCGGTCACAGTATATAGCGATAGCGGTCACAGTATATAGCGATAGCGGTCACAGTATATAGCGATAGCGGTCACAGTATATAGCGATAGCGGTCACAGCATAGAGTAGTCTCGACGTCTGTCCCCTTCAAACCAGGCTGCAAAACTCCATCAACTCACAACCTTTTTGGGGATTGGCATGCTCCATCGCAGAGCCCCTCCGATCTGAAGGCCGCACCGGGGCCTAGGGCGCCAAACCTCCTCCCAATAAATACTCAAAAGCTTCTTGTTTCACGTCTCTCCAAATTGAAATGCAGCCAGCGTAAGTTCAATTTGGTAGACGTCAGCCAAAGGTAACCCCTCCAGGCCGGTTCTCATCCCCAGCCTACCGCACTGCAAATGCCCCTTCCAATCACCGGTCCAGCCAGGCAAGCTGCTTAAAAGCGGAGGAACTCCCATTCTCGGCCTCTTGAAGCTGCAGCCACCGCCTCCCCTCCTCCTCCTCTTCACCCTGCTTCATTCTGCCTTCAATCTGCTTCCCGCTGCCAAATGCCGCCACCAGTGCCTAGGTCCCGGGGGATTGGCATGCTCCATCGCAGAGCCCCTCCGATCTGAAGGCCGCACCGGGGCCTAGGGCGCCAAACCTCCTCCCAATAAATACTCAAAAGCTTCTTGTTTCACGTCTCTCCAAATTGAAATGATAACAGCTTGTTGCTTGGGATTAGCATTGCTAACATTTGATAAATCTGCGGTGATAGTGATGGCGAAGTGGTGTTCTAAGAATAAGTTGTGAAGTGTTAAATGTGTGCGATGGCCCGCAGCGGAGTCTGTACAGACTCCATCATCAGCTCCTTCACATGTGACTGTTTGCACCAGGCCTCACTGACCAGAGGGGTAAACAAATATCCCTCACAAGAACAGGAACAGGCTGCATTATCCCTGTCCTACAGGAACAGCAGCTGCTTTCACAGATTCACTCAGTCTATTCTTTTTTTAAACTCTCAGAGAAAACTATAGTAATAACATATAATGATAAAATATGACGACCGAGAAAGAACAATGTAATAAATCTAACTTTACCCAGTGAGAAGTGACTTGGAAACTTTACTAACAATCTGGAAAGATTAAGATTAAGAGATCCTTTGTTCGCCCTACAGTGGGGACATTTCAGTGTTGCATCACCGGGTACAGAGCAGTAGGAATGAGAAGCCCACAGCACAAGATAAATGAAGGATAATTCTATACTGAAATAAAACGAAATCTCTAGCTTTGGCAAGAAGCAGGTCTAAAATCTCCTCTAAAATAAACTTTAGCATAATAAGGCAGCAAATCTAACATCTACAAATGTAGCATAAGGAAGAAGCAAGAATGAAGAACAATATCTCAGACTTTACAGTGAGTCTGTTTAAAACTGCATGATCTATAAATGCGTGATTGTGCTGCTTATGGAGAATCCACGGAGGCTAATTCTCAGAAGAAATATTTTTTCCCTCAAGATTCCATTATGAGGCAGTTCACTTTGTCCCAAGAAAGCACATGACAACAGTATCTCACCACTGTTTCAGCGAGTTGGACCCCCACGTTTCATTTTACATCAGATTACATCAAAACGGTGACGCAAAAACACTTCAGTCACTTTTAGTGCATTCTCATGATGTCAGGTGTCATTCGAAGCATCATGCAGAATAATTGCAGAGTGAGACCAGGGATCGGAAAAATGGATTTGATCATGTGATGTCAGACCCCATCAGGACTTGGACGTGTAGAAATGTTTCACACCCGGACGCCAATGTTTTCCACCCATTATTTTGTGATTTTGTATTCTTCATAGTTTAATAGCTTTTATTCTTAATGAGCAGGGCCACACCTACCATTAAACAGGACCGAGGCACCCGTCTGGGGCCCCAAGAACCCGTCTCTCTGAAATAAACATGCGCTATTTGTGTTTGTTATGTACAATAATAAACAAGCAAAAAACAGAATTCACAAATGTGTTTTAAAACGTATCATAACACATGCATTGTGACTCTCGCTTCATGTGTAAAATGAACCGCTAGAATGAGGTCATCACAGCGGCAGCACGGGATTCCTGCGCATGCTAGCTCAGTCAGAGCCGAGGAAAAGCAGAATTTTGAGCAGAATAAAGACTTTTATTAGTGCGGAATTATAATGGGGAGTTTGGGGAAATGAGAAGCAAACACACTGGAACACGGGAGAAAGTCTGGATCAGCACCAGGCCCGAAGTGAAAACTGAAGATGTTGCTCCTTGGTGCTTTGTAAAACATCTTTGCAAATCACACCGTGCCCAAAAAAGTAAATTGATGAATTATTTTAGTATTTCAAAAAACAGAAATATGTCAAAACAGACATTCAGCGGCATGTATCGAACAAAACTCAAACTTGAACGATTCTGACTAAAAAAACCCTGATTGGACATAATTGAGACCATATAAGATTCTGATTCTGATTCTGATTCTATTTCAGCTGTTGCATCTATTGCATCTTGCGGTATCATTTGTTCACAACCATTTTCATTCACAAACCTCTATGGGGACAACCTACTTATTATACATTACATGACATTATATTCTGAGAAAAAAAGTTAGGTACCTCAGCTTTAAGGATTCTTTTTTATTATTATTACAGTGTGTTCTTTTGGAGAGGCCTAGAGTTGGTTAGGTACCTCAGCTTTAAGGATTCTTTTTTATTATTATTACAGTGTGTTCTTTTGGAGAGGCCTAGAGTTGATAAAGCATCTGGCTCGTCTATGGACTGGGAGAAAAGGGCCACATGCCAATCAAGTACAGTTCAGTTCTACAGCTATAGCGCCACTACCAGCCACTACAGGTGGAAGAGGACATGGGTTCAAGAGGAAGAGAAATGATCATTGTCTGAAGCCGTGATCAGTGTGTGATCAGTGTGTGATCAGTGTGTGATCAGTGTGTGATCAGTGTGTAGTGTGAGATCAGTGTGTAGTGATGAGTGTGTGTGATCAGTGTGTAGTGATGAGTGTGTGTGATCAGTGTGTAGTGTGTGATCAGTGTGTAGTGTGTGATCAGTGTGTAGTGATGATCAGTGTGTAGTGATGAGTGTGTGTGATCAGTGTGTAGTGTGTGATCAGTGTGTAGTGTATGATCAGTGTGTAGTGTATGATCAGTGTGTGTGTGATCAGAGTGTAGTGATGAGTGTGTATGATCAGTGTGTGTGATCAGTGTGTAGTGATAAGTGTGTGATCAGTGTGTAGTGATGAGTGTGTGATCAGTGTGTGATCATTGTGTATGATCATTGTGTAGTGTATGATCAGTGTGTAGTGTATGATCAGTGTGTGTGATAAGTGTATGATCAGTGTGTATGATCAGTGTGTATGATCAGTGTGTATGATCAGTGTGTAGTGCATGATCAGTGTGTGTGTGATCAGTGTGTAGTGTATGATCAGTGTGTATGATCAGTGTGTAGTGTATGATCAGTGTGTGTGATCAGTGTGTAGTGTATGATCAGTGTGTATGATCATTGTGTAGTGTATGATCAGTGTGTAGTGTATGATCAGTGTGTGTGATCAGTGTGTAGTGTATGATCAGTGTGTATGATCATTGTGTAGTGTATGATCAGTGTGTATGATCATTGTGTAGTGTATGATCAGTGTGTAGTGTATGATCAGTGTGTGTGTGATCAGTGTGTACAGTAGTGTATGATCAGTGTGTATGATCATTGAGTGTATGATCAGTGTGTAGTGTATGATCAGTGTGTGTGATAAGTGTGTAGTGTATGATCAGTGTGTGTGATCAGTGTGTAGTGTATGATCAGTGTGTGTGATCAGTGTGTAGTGTATGATCAGTGTGTGTGATCACTATGAGCCGAGATGTCATCACAGGCTCCTGCTGATGATCAGTCACCATCAGGCGGCCCTGATGCAGTGAACACGCCGTACCTTGACGCTGGTATGGCTGGTCTGTGTCTCCGCTTCGATGCGGGAGTGCCCTCCGCTGTTGTCCTTGCGCTCCCCACGGTACGAGTTGTTCCGTGAGTGTCGGTTCTGGTACGTGATGACCGACGGGATGGTTTCGGCCGCATCCGTCTTGATGAAGAGTCCGTGCAGCGTGGCCGCAGTGCCCTGGGAGATGGTGGTGGTCTGGTGCGGGGAGTTGGATTCATCCGAGTCTCGACAGTAGATCACCCCGCTCTGAGAGACGTGGATACTGGGAGCGCAGCCCATTCCTCTGTGGAGCTCGGGCCAGAGCCCCCCGCAGAGACGCGGTGTAGCAGCCGCAGAGAGGGGCTACATTAGGATCGAGTGCTTAGCACCCGATGCCTCCTTCCGCCGGCTCCTCTGCTCTCGATGTCATGTTCACAGGCGATAGATGCGGAGCCAAATTGACTTCACTGTCGCCCGTGGTCGGTGCGAGCTGTGCCGCCCACCAGCTCCGTCTGAGTGCAGTAGTCAGCACAATAGTGGTACTATAAGATATGTACTTGTAACTCCTGCTCACATCCGGCGGATCTCTGCACATGTATCAGACATCTGCTTATGGAAATCACGTGCATCTGGCTCATCACCACAGACGCACAAACTATGTATAATACACTTATGTTCACTCAGCTGAAGGATCAAACGCAGTGGATTTGGAAGGTCATTGTAGACTAATGACCTCACTTTGTGTGTAGGTCCCACACAGAGTCTGCTGAGAGTGACATGCTCTAATTAGACAACAACCTGCTGTTTTCATCTCATAAAGAAAACATGTTATTTTGCAGCACATCTGTCCCATACTGGTAGAAAGAGCCCTGTGTTTCACTATATGACGCTTTGGGTGAGAGCTGAATAAGTGATGGTGGACTCTCTGTTTGAAAAAACGAGATTGAAAAATAATATGTGTTATGTACATGGTTCCATTTTTTTCAGTTTGAAATATTAGGTACCCCAGCTTTAAGTTAAAAGTCCATATAATCCATTTCCATTTAAAACACAAGACCAGACTGGGTTCTGGAAAGTGCACTAGAAACAAAGATTAGATAAAATGTGCAATAATCATGTAAAATAATCAAATGTTTCAACAAATGCAACCAAGACCATGAGTAAACTAGTCAGACCGTTTAGTTTTATTACATGTAAGGCTAAAAAAATCACTTTTTGGACACTCAAAGACGCCTCACATTATTAATTCACTCTGTACATGTTGGTAAAATACTGCTGTAGCTACAGCTGCCCTGGGGCAGACTGACAGTAGCACTGATCACCTCCAATCTTTCAGGCAAACACCAGACCCTAACTAACTGTGGATCAGTACTAACCAGTCCCAGTCCTGCTTAGCGTCTGCCAGAACAGACAGCACAATTCACCGATGTATTCACTCTGCAGGTCTGTCAATCTCACACCAATCTGACACTAACCTGACACCAACCTGACACCAACCTGACACCAACCTGACACCAATCTGACACCAATCTGACCGTTGAACGAGGAGGAACAAAGTGCAGTGTTCTAAACAGTGTGACAGTCATAATGTGCAGGTGGATTTGTCTGATCTCCATCACCACATAAAAACACATGAAAACAAATGAAATCATATGAAAACAAATGAAAAAATCACATGAAAATACATGAAGCAAATTGACTCTTGATGATATACAAACTAAACACCTGCTGAGACGTATATGTGCCGGGCAGCCTATCACAAAAGGCTCAGTATACGGAGAAGCCACATTCATGTATTTGGTAAATTTATTTTTTCGTGACAACAAGTGAAATGTAAATGTAGAAAAGTGCGCAATAGCAACTCACTTTTGGCATTAGGACAACATACAATATCATACCAGGGTGTGATAGCGCCTCACGACCAGCAGTGGGTGCAATACACACTGGGCTATTCATTGCCGCTTGCGTCTGTATTTATATTATTGTGTGATTCAACATTATAGCACCTAAAGATTGTGCAACTAAATAGGCTAGTATAGAGAAGTATTTCCGAGCCGGTTGACCAGGTAATCCTACTTTTTGGCAGAGATACAGTTAGACATGTGTTGAGTCTCAGTATTTTGAACAAAGACAAAACATTTATAATTATGTATTTCTTTGTATGTGTGGATGGATGGATATCTTTCTGCTAAAGGACACATACATTTCTCTGATGGGGATCAATAAATAATCCATCTATCCACCTGTAGATGTGAGTCACCATCACATTTGTGTCCCTATAGCAACACAAATTATCAAATGTAATAGTAATAGTTGAATCTCTCACAGTCCATAATGAAAGTCATGTCACCCCAGCCTGGTGAATACTGAATACACAGAGTAATTATAGATGTTGGAAAACATGAAGAATGTAGAGGTAGTCAAAACATTTACGTGAATTCATCCTTGGCTTGTTCCAGGAAATAAAAGTTACACAATGTTAACAGTAGATTAAAGGTAAGATGCAGGTGCGACGCCAGATCCATGACCAACACTTACAGACCACAGTATGACAATCTTGGTTCTGTGTCCATATTTCTACACCTTGTGGTTATGTAATCTTAAAACTTGACCTTTCAGACCACTTTGTTTTGTCTTGGGCTCAAAGCCATTGGGTTCATGGGTGTATGTACAAAAGTCTCTATTGGCTGTGATTTTAGAAGTTACTGTAGATGTATGTGTAATGTAATAGTTATAAATTAAGTTAGAATTAAACTTGTGTGTGATAAAAAGAGTTTTCTACATCCTGAAACAGAACAAGTATTTGAAACAACACAAACCTGTTGTAGATTACAACAAAACCAGAGAAACATTGTCACAAATACAATATTACAAATTCACCATCCCGGTAAATGTTAAATTTAAATATATTTATTTATGTATTTATTTGAAGAATGTAGAGTATGGGGTGACAGTGGCTCAGTTGTTGGAGCAGTGGCCTTTGGGTCTGAAGGTCGTGGGTTCAATCCCCCCACGAAACATATAAACTGCTCCCACTCATGTCTGCTGTCATTGTGCCCCGGGGCAAGACACTTAAGCCCCCGCTGAAACACCAAGGCAGTGTCCCCGCTGATGGAGAAGACATCTTCCTGTGGACTCACTTCCTGCCGAAGGATCAACGAGGGACTGGTGCTGTGAGCATTGGGAGGCAGCTCTGACTGTCCCTCCCTCCCAATGGGGATGACAATAAATGAATATACAGTTTGTCATATTCCCATCGTACATCATTTGGATGGGGAAAAACAGTCCTTTGAGCAATATCTTACATATTTAAACGTGACTAACCTGCCCTTTTTTGTCTATAGGTAATTGTTTTACTGCAGAAACTAAATCACTTACTGTCCAATCGAAGTGGATTGCTGAAAGGAATGGCACTACAAGTTTGTTTCCAGAAGGGGGCGGTAGATGCAAAGCAAAGTTATAATATTCATTCAAAACTCACAATACCCTCTGAAATACTTAGATATCATTACATTTGTAGATTAAAGTAGCTCTGAGTAACTAACAGTAGGTAACAGGGTGACAGTGTAAACACTGTAATATTACCCACAGTTTTATGTTGAAAATCCCTTCTCAAGTAATAATAATCAACCGTTACATTTCCTCAAACTTTCCGGGTTTGTTCAACAAAAGTAACTTTACAAGTGAACAATACTTATAAACCTTATTCAAGATTAGGTTTATTTTTTGTAAACGTGTGAACGCAGCTTTTTCACTATTTTCATTATCATTTCATTTATTTGTTTATTCCAAAACCATATATTACAAGATACACGGTTTGGAAAGGTGAAGAGTAATTAATGTAATGGATATTACTGTTAAAAATATATTCTGGCAATTGGTGTCTGCGTTTTTTCTTAATTAAGTTTTACTCACATTTTACAACAACTTTAGCAACACTGATCAATAAACATGTCTCACTATGGAGAAGCATCCACCAACTCTGTGAAGCATCCACCAACATCCAACATTTGCTGGAGGAGTTTTAGATCATGGACTGTACGAGAGATGAGTTGTATAAAAAATGATTCTATTATGTATGATTTGCAAGAATCTGATATCATGACATTAGTCTGTCAAAAGATGAATTATACAGAGATAAAACACAATCCGTCTGGAACAAGCCCAATCTAGTTATGTCCCACTCAAAGACAATATTTATAGTTATATGTGACTTTGACAGACTGGGATACACATCGATCAAATTTTATATAAGTTTAAAACTTACATCCTTTCATTTTGTTCTGATTTCCTCTATTTTCTGCCCAGACTTACCAGCTCATCATGGGGAATCCTGAGGCGTTCTCAGGCCAGACACGCCTCCAGCTCCTGTATGTTGCTTCGTCACGACCTCAGACAGACACTTTTATTTTCAATGTTGTTAATGTGAAGTGAAAGCCCAAATGTAAATGATTTCAGTAATAGAATAATTCAGTCTCCCTGTTACTTTGTGGAAGCATCACATCAGATGGTTTCAGGTTTCATTCATCCTCTGAGGGAGAAATGTGTCCTGCGGGAGGGCATCAGGAGCACCAATACAAAAGGACACAACACACACAGAAGACATTCACAAAATATGTTCGATCACAGGTCAACACATTTGCAAACTCACTCACTGTTATTTATCGGAGGCACAAAATCAACTTTTTAAACCTATTGCTTTAACACAGGGAATCTTTACCTTGTCCCTGACTGCATCAGTGTGTGGTGGGAGTGGGGGACTGAGGTGGATCTCTGATGCTCCAGACGGTCTCGGAACATCATCAGAAATGTCCTGTTTCAAACTTTAACTTCTGAAAAAGCTTGTTTGAGGAAAGGTAAACTTTCACCTCAGACGCCAAAAGCTTGTTGTGCAATATTTTTCTCCATTCATCTTTCCATCATCTATGAAACTCTTCCCTCTTCCTACAGCATGATGCTACCACCACCAGGATTGACGCTGGAGTGAGTATAATGATAAACAGTGTTAGCATATCTTCCATGCATTTTCTTATTAGGCAAAATAAGAGTCCTATTTTAGTCTCATGACGCGGTATCTGCCTCCACATGTTAAATGTGCAGTTATGAATGTATTGTTTACAATGTTAGACTTATATACGCATCATTTGTTTTCATCAGTTCGAGGTATTTCATTTCAGATTAGACATCCTTGTGCACTGAATCAGTCATAGATTAAAAGGAAATCAATAAGCCTGAGCTGGTCTTAAGTTATGAACCTCTGTATCTATTAAATATTTAAATCAGTAAAAATGTTTGTGTCC